CTAGAAAATTTTCTGAAGAAGGGTCTAGGCCCGAAACGTCAGCCTTCCTGCTCCTCTGATGCTGCTTGGCCTGCTGTGTTCATCCAGCTCTACACCTTGTTATCTCATACTTCTCAGCTCCTTGCTTGTACCATTTAATTGCAGTGCAAACCTCAGTGAACTATCAAACCTCAATCCCAGCCAATGTTAAAACAAAAACAGTCAAACAACAGTTAGAATTACAGCAATATTTTTGGATTTTATTATACATATCCTCCTGAAAGAAGTTATTGATGAGGAATTAATTATTCCTAACTTCCTGCAAACCAGTCAGAAATCTATCACAAGTATTTTCTAATGAAAGGTTACCTCTGAAATGTTACCTCATCAATATTTATGGAAAGGATGAGACTAAATTGCTACACATTCTAGAATTTTCACTTTATGCAACGTGTACAGCACTGGCCGGGTGCTGGGCAGGGCTCAACAATAGAAGAGATTTTTCATTATGTTTAATAAAGATCATGAAATGATTTATAAAGTTTAGGTTTACAATGTTATTCCACTCAGCATACTGAAAATCTTCTTTCACATGGATTTATCCCACCTTAAGAGTAAACTTTATTGTCTGTGTCTTTTCCTTTTCAAATTCCATTAGGGATGGTGTAACGTTATGACCTTAAAGCTATCAATAACTAGTCAGAAAGCATCCCAACAATTATATCCGCTAATAATCTTTCACCCAATCCGGCCAAATGAGATTCAAACCAAAATTCAGAAGTAAAAGCGTTGTTCTATAGATGATCCAAACTTCAATGTAAAACTCTAGAAATTAAGTAAGTGTTGGTCCTCCAGACAGTAACAATAGAAAATTATTAGTCAATAATAATGAACAAATATTTTGACTTTGTCATCATTATAGAGGATATAAAATAAATCCAAGCAATTCTAGGGAACAAAATCCAATTTTAATTTCTAAGCTTCCATTGAATACTTGCACTACAAATTTTTGTTGATAGTACTTGCAAAAATAAAATTCAAATACAGTGGCTAAAGCAGTCTCAAAGATTTTCATACAATAATAAACAATAAAAAAAGTTATTCGTATTTTCAATCACAAAAAACTAGCATCCAAATTCAGTGGGTAATAAAGTGATGCCCAAGTCCCAAGAGTGAATTTAAAAAAAAGACTTAAATGGATATTTGATGTAAATGAGATCAATCCCAAGTTATTGTGGCACACTAAATAAAAGTGCTGAGGTATATTTACAAAATCTATCTGCCAAAATGAATAATTTCTGTATTTTTTTTCTTGTAGAAATTAATTTTTAGAAATTGTTAATACAGGTTGAGTATGTAAAATTTATGAATGGAGGTAGCAGACATTTATCACATCTGAAACTATTAACATATATCCTTAACACTGAATACATTTTCTTGCTGTTGAACATCTTGAAATCTCAGGATGAAGCTCTCCAAATGCCTCATCAGAATGTTAAAAAAAAATTACATTGCTTTAAAACTGAATTCACATTGAATGGTAAACCCAGGAAAGGGAGCATTTTATCTGTGAAGTTTTCCACTTTCTAAAGAGCAGTGGTGCTAAATCTATAGCATGCTCAAATCACAAATAGTTTTCTCCATTTATCACAGAAGATTGTTGTTGTAATATTATGACATGCAATAACTGAAATGCACTATCTTTATCCTGAAACACTGGCATCAAAAATCAGTTTTTATGCCATCTCATGTCAGGTTTCCCTCTTTCCATTTTCCACAATGTGGGAATTATCAATATGATTAAATGATTTTAAAAATAACAGTGACAACAACTAGAAGTAACAATTTTGAAATAATGGAAATGGTAATTAATTTTCTGCTTTTGAAACATCAAGAGATTGTATTCTACGCCATAAACCCTTGCCTCACTTACCTTTGAAAGAAATTCTCTGAGCTCCCGATAAGTCTTGGTTATGAACGTCATTGAAGAATCTGACCACAGGACCTGAGTATTAAGGTAAAAAATATATACTTTGAATATGTAAACAAAAAAAAAGAAACTTTAAAGTCACAGGTTGAATCTGTGGGAAAATATTGAAACTAAAGGCCAAAATTTTGGATACCTGTAGAAAGGATAAATGGACTGAGTGTTGGTCCAGCAGACAGTGACAACACAAAATTATTAGTTGATTATAAGGAAATGATATATACAACGAACAAGTACATTTCCTTTCATTTCATTGTAGAAGATACAAAATTAATCCAAGCAATGATAATAAATCAGGAAATGGAAGGAAAAGAGGAAAGTGGTGAAATTACAATCAGCAAGAAGTGGAACAAAGCCAACTGATGGAGCTGCAGGCAGAAAACAGGAAACTATAGGCCAGTTCACTTGATGTCTGTTGTGTTAGACTTGACCATTGAGGAGATTATAGATGGTTAATTAGAAAAATTCAAAATAATTCAGAACAGTCAAAATATACAAGTTATTCTTCAGTTGTACAGAACATTGGCGAGACCACATCTTGAATACCATGTACATTCTGGTCTCATTTAAGGAAGGCTGTAAATAAACTGGAGGCAGTTCACGGGAGGTCTACTAGATTGATACCTTGAACAATTACATTGTCTTATGAAGATAAATTGGATAGATTGGGCTTGATTTCATTAGACCTTAAAAGGGTGAGGGGTGACTTAATTTAGAATACAAGATCCTGAATGCTCTTGACAAGGTGGATGCGCAAATGATGCTTCTTCTGGTGGATGAATTCAGAACTAGAGAGCAGTATTTTAAAAATGAGCAGTCACCCTCTTAGGGGAGAGTCAGGAATATTATTTTCTCTCAGCAGGATTGTGCAACTTTGGAACTTTCTGTCCCAGAAGGCAGGAAGGCAGATTCGTTGAATATATTTAAGACAGAGGTTGATTGATTCTGTTGCCTTACAAACATTTAAGGTTATCACAGTAGGTAGGAACATGGAATTTGAAATATAAACAGATCAGCTATGATTTAAATGAATGACAGAACATAATCAATGGGCCAAATAAGCTACTTCAGCACTTAATTCATATGTTTCCAACACTCAGTCAGATGAAGACTTTTCATCACAACTAGGAAAATGTGAAAATCTGATAGCTTTTCACCAAAAACTTGCATGGAACAAGGACACAACAGCAAACCATGGCCTTTTGAGTCAAATACCCTCGAGATCATGCCCGTTTGCCTGTCCTGGTAAGATTTCACTCCAAACACTGAAAGTAAGTAACAACAACAAGCCAGACTGCAAATGACCGAGGGATCTCTCAAGCTGAGAACATGGAGCGGCTTCAACCCCAACACTGCAAGCATTTGTGCAATGACAAGTAGCTTTATTTTGAAGGCGCCAAGATAATGAAGATGTTCAAGAAGTCAACAACACAAGGCCGATGCCTTGTATATACTGACAGATTTTTGAGCAGATGTATTTCCCATTTCTGTCTAACAAGATTGTGCCTGTGACTATAATTCCAGTAAGCTGAGGTGTTAATGAGTATTCAAGGAATGCTAATGAATGTAGAGCAGCTTCCCACTGATTATGATTAGGAAATGTGACCACCTCTAAAGTTCTGAGAACTTACCAGCAAATGTTTAACCAGTCGTCAAGAAACAGAAATTTCGCCTTCCACCAATTCTGGTGCTGCAACAACAGCCAAATGACTGCTTGCAGCAGTAAGCTCCTTCTTAAATGGTATGGATCCCACTTTGCATGGAAATTTACATCTAATTTAGAAGAATGTTAGAAGTGAGGATGCAGAGCAGTGGTTAGCCTTGTAGGAGTGTGTTGCCAGGTTTTGCCAAATTACCTCCTCAACAGTGATTAAGGATGGGAAATAAATGCAGGCCCAGTAAGCCACGCCCACATCCCTGTGTGCATATACAATATATATGATATACCCACAAAAAATATCTGGCAAAATACCAAAACTGGGCACACAGAGGGAGCTCTGAGTGACATCCAAAATTGCTGACAGAGGTGAATAGTTGGAAAGTAGAAAATTTCCATTATGCACCAAATCGGTCTCCATTTTATAGCAGTTAATTTAAATTTTACTTTACAGGCATTGCATATGATATACAATGTGAAATGAAAGTGATGTGTTTTGCATGTTACAAATGTAAATAACAGAAATTGCTACCTCAAAGTAATATTCAGCAGTCTTCTCATTCTTCTTGTGCTGTAATCCTCTCACATTTATCCTCTCAATGTTTACTGCAGAGAGAGAAAAAAATCATTTAAGTTGCACAGACTATATTTTTTCTAAAATTTTTTGTCACAAACAAGATATTACTATTATGTATGTGCAACTTTAAAATGTTACTAGTTACTAAAAAAGACTTGTACACATTTCTGGAGGAGCTGCCGAGGAAAAGTGTATACTGTTGCACTGTGTCAAATACCCATTTATTACAATGTCTTTCATAAGAGAAGATATTAAAAATGTCACTTAAAAATATCCAACAGAAAGGTTCATCTTCATTTGAAACAATATGCAATTCCAAATTAAAAGCAAAATACTGCAGGTGGCCAAGATCTGATATTTGAGAAACTCAGCAGGTCTAGCAGTATCAATGGGGAAAGAAGTGGGAGATCCTTTGAATCAAATACGACTCTTTAGAACTGACAAGATGGTAATGTGATGCGTTTTGTGTTGAAAAAAAAGGGGAGGGATAACTGGAACAAAAGAAAATGTTAGGGAATGGTTAGATGGCAATGGAGATGGAATATCAAAGGTGACAGATCAACAACTGTAACTACACTACCTCCTGCTCTCATCTAGAAGTGGAATTGATGACCAAATTCCTTCAATTTCTCACATTCTCCCACCTTCACCCAGACCATCCTCTGGTTCTTCGCTTCTTTGACGTCTGTGTCTCCATTTCCAGGAATGGGCTGGTCATTTATATCACTACAAGCTCAATAGCTCCTGCAGTTACCTTGACTACACTTCCACACATCCTGGTTCCTGTGAGGGTTCCATTCAATTCCTCCAGTTTCTTTGTCTTCATTACATCTGTTCCAATTATGCTACCTTTCACAACAGCGCTTCCAAAATGCCTTCCTTTTTCTCAACCAATGATACCCACAATGACATCCATGACCAACTCTTTTCTGAAACGTTTCCTTGATGCCTTCCTCCCTGTTCAAGAATTACTATGAGGTTCCCCCTCGTCTTCATTGTTCACCCCATCAGTTTCATTTAGTCATCCTCCATCACCAGCACGACACCACGAAACGTCACAGTCCAAAGCCCCAAATACTTCTTTCAGGGAAGGTAGAATTTTCATGCATTTCTTTCTGTTTCACCAGTTTTCTATATTTCCTGCTCACGCTCTGGTTTCCTGTACACTGGAGAAACCAAATACAGATTGAGAAACCGATTCATGGAAGACCTTTGCTCGGTCTGCAAGCTGGACTCTGATCTTCCAGTCACTTGTCGTGTCAATACACTATCTTGCTGTCATGCTCACATTTCTGTCCTGGCCTGCTGCAGTGTTCCAGTAATGTCTAACACAAACTGAAGGTATAACACCTCCAATTAAGCACTCGACAGCCTTCTGAATTCAACAACTTCAAACCATGAACACTGTTCTCCATTTTGATATTTTTCTTCTCCCTGGAGCAGTCACAAATGATCTTTATTCTGCTTTCAACAACAGCCCTGGGCCAATGCCTAGTTTCTTCATTACAATTACTTTTGCCTTTTGTTCTGTGACACCTATGATTTTTAATCTGTCCAACTCTCTGACCTTTTCTTTATCTTCTCTTTTGTTCTTCTTGCTCCTCCCCACTTTTTCAAAATATTAAGCCCATCAAATTCGCATCTTCCTTCAGTTCTAGGCAGCTGAAAGTGTACGTCATCAATACAAAAGTATAGCTCTAGCTTGACCAAATTAACCGACATCCTGTAGAGGAAACAACAGTTTAAAGGTAATAAGAACCTTGGAGGAACACTTGTAAGAAGGATGAGCCTGTGTCGGGGATTCAGAGAAGACAGCGGGAACCTAGGAAAAACTCTTGATCATGGCCCCCTAACTTAGGGGGCTAGAGAACAGGAGTACTCTCTGGACCATAGCCTGATCACCTCTGCTTTTCATTGGTAGTATTCTGTGAAAGTAGTAAGGCTTGCACATTTGTGATTCTAATAGTGTTCTATAAATGACATTGCCTCTGAGTATTTATCTGTTTACGGCCATTTCACCTTCAGAATGTCAGTAAAAAGCACAACAAAGGAAAGATCATTGATAAAAGCATTAAGAAAATGGGCACAAGTATCCAGAAGTGAACAGCACATATCAGAGAATCATAGAGTCCCTACAGTGTGGAAACAGGCCCTTCGGCCCAACAAGTCCACACCGAACCTCAGAGCATCCCGCCCAGACCCATCCCCATATAACCCACCTAATCTACACATCCTTGTGCACTATGGGCAATTTAGCATGGCTAATCCACCTAGCCTGCACATCTTTGGGCTGTGGGAGGAAACCGGAGCACCCGGAAGAAACCCACGCAGACACGGGGAGAATGTGCAAACTCTACACAGACAGTCGCCCGAGGGTGAAATCGAACCCAGGTCCCTGGTGCTGTGAGGCAGCAGTGCTAACCACTGTGCCACCGTGCTGCCCCATCTTGGGAGGTTGTAGGGCTGTAGGAGATAACAGGGATGAGAAATGCAAGGCAACAAAAAGATTTGAAAACATGCAAGAGAATATTAAGATCAAGGCATTACACAACCAGGAGCTAACATAAGCCAGTTAGCACAGGAATGATGGAACAGCTAAAAAAACTTTGCCTATAAAATCAGTACACAGAGTTGGTTTTACTCATCTAATACATCAATTCTCATAGCAATTGGTTAATATTAACAGCTACATTACATACAACGATAGAGATAACAAGGTGTAGAGCTGGATGAACACAGCAGGCCAAGAAGCATCAGAGGAGCAGGAAGGCTGATGTTTCGGGCCTAGACCTTTCTTCAGAAATGCATTTCTGAAGAAGGGTCTAGGCCCGAAACGTCAACCTTCCTGCTCCTTTGATGCTGCTTGGCCTGCTGTGTTCATCCAGATCTACATCTTGTTATCTCAGATTCTCCAGCATCTGAAGTTCCTACTATCTCTGAAACAATTTTAACCACATTACATACAACGTAGTCTTCAAGATATTAACAGGAAAAGACTGGGTAAGTAAACTAGAGATAGTAGGAACTGCAAACATTTCTGAAGAAGGGTCTAGGCCCGAAACGTCAGCCTTCCTGCTCCTCTTATGCTGCTTGGCCTGCTGTGTTCATCCAGCTCCACACCTTGTTACCTCGGGTAAATAAACTATTTGTGTTTGGATTATTCTAGAACTTCTTTTTTATTCATACATGGGATGGGACTGTCACTGGCCAGGCCAGCACTTATTGCCCATGAAATATTGATCGGAGGGCAGTTAAGAGTCAACAACATCGCTATGGGTCTGCAATCACACGTTGGTCAGACGAGGCAAGATTAGCAGTTTCCTTCTCTCAGCAACGTTAGTGAACCAGATAGGATCTTCCAACAATAAACAATTATTACTCTCTTTACTCCAGCTTTGTTCACTGAATTCAAATTCCACCATCTACCATGACAGGATTCGAACCCAGATCCCCAGTTAAATTCTGAGGTCTCTAGATTAATAGTCTAATGATAATACCATTAAGGCCATTGCTTCCCCCAACTAGAGACACACTGTCTAAGAATTGGCTAGACCATTTCAGGGACATGTTAGGAAGCACCCAAACACGCAAAGGATGGTAGATGTTTGGAACTCTTCCAAAAATGGCAATGAATGCTGGATCAATTGTTAATTTTAAATCCAAGATAAATTAATTTTTGTTAAGCAAAGGTATTAAGGGATATGGGCTCAAGGCAGGTATGTGGAGTCTGGCCACAGGTCAGCCATGACCTCACTGAATGGTGGTACAGGCTCAAAAGGTTGAATGGCCTACTCCTGCTCCTATGTTTCTATAATTATGTGCAGATCAGAAATTCATCTCATGACGTGAACCAGGTGTTATTTTACAACAATCATCATTGGTTTCATGGTCATCATTAGACTGGCTTTCACCATCTGCTGTGGTGAGATTCAATCTCATATCCTCAGAACATTAACCTGGGCACTAGAAAGTTGACAAACATTACACCCACACAAGTAATACAAAAAACAACATATATTCAGCAAAGCAACAAGCCAGTCAGCTCCAGTTTGTCTGCGCCCATTGTAGGGTGTTTGCTTGACAATGCTGGAATGAACATGCAACAAGGCTGTACGGCATTTTAGGGCTTTTATTTGAATAAGCCCATAAGGTTTAGCAGCAGAAATAGACTTTTCAGCCCATCAAATCTGTTCTGCTGTTCAGTGTGATCATGGTTGATCTTATAATCTTCAACAACAACAAAAATAGGAGTTGCTGGAAAAGCTCAGTGGGTCTGGCAGCATCTGTAAAGAAAAAAATCAAAATTAACGTTTCGGATCCAGTGACCCGTCCTCAGAGCGTTCTGAGGAAGGGTCATCGGACCCCGAAACGTTAACTCTGATTTTTTCTTCACAGATGCTGCCAGACCTGATGAGCTTTTCCAGCAACTTCTGTTTTTGTTCCTGATTTACAGCATCCGCAGTTCTTTTGGTTTTTATCTGATAATCCTCAATTCCACTTTCCTGTCTTATCCGTAACTTTTGATTCTTTTACAGATTAAAAATATATGTCTGTCTTTTTCAGGTTTGAATATACTTACTGACACCTTGACAGTCTTATATGGTAAAGAATACCACAGATTCACCACCCTCAGAGACAAACTTATCATCTCTGCCTAAATTCTCTGGAAAGCCTCCATTGCCAGTATATCTTTCCTTGGATAAGGAGACTAAAATTGCTCTGAATATTCCAGCTTTAGTCTGTATAGTATTTTGCATAGTTTTAGCAAGAACTTCACTTTTTTTCCTCCATCCCTTTGAAATAGAAGGCCAACGTTTCATTTGCTGTCCCTATTACTCACTGAACATGGATGCTAACTTTTTGAGATTCATGGACTAGGAACTCAAAATCCCTCTGCACTACAGCTTTCTGAAAACTTTCCCCATTTAAATAATAGTCAGCTCTTTTATTCTTTCTGCCAAAGTGCATAACCTTACATTTTCCCACAGTATACTGCATCTAAGTTTTCGCCCACTCACTTTACTTGTCT